ATCTCCGTGGGGCAGACAAAGGTGAAGTCCATCGGGTAGAAGAAGAAGACCAACCACTTTCCCTTGTAGGAGGCGAGGTCCACCTTCTTGAAGGTGCCGTTGGGCATCAGCGCCGTCTCATTGAAGTGGGGCGCCGGGTGGTTTAGCTTTGCGTCACCGCAGGACATTGGCTTGATTGAAAAAAGTTGAGTATTAGCGTTAGCTCTTAGAGTCACTGAAAAGCGCGTTGCAGACACGTCGCGGAAAGAGAAGGCGGGATGGATGGAGGCAAGGGAGAAAGCGACGTGCATCGGCGTGCGGCAGCCTCTCGGCGCCGATGTACGGTGGGAGGGGGGCGCACACACGCACGCGCCAGGGGGCGCCTTGCCCACACAGCGGCGGCCCGCAGATTATTCAAGGCGGTAAGCGGAGACGCCACAAGGAGGGAGGGGGCGAAGCGAAGTCGACGTGGCCAGTGCTGCGCACACTCCTCCTCCGCCCCCTCTTCCACGCGGGGGAGGAGCGGGCATCGGGGAACGGTGGCGCGTTGACTGAACGAGCGTGCCGGTAAGCAAAGCATCAGCGCACCAAACCCACCTCCCACGACCACTGCGTGTCCTCACGAAAATTTCCCGTCTTTGCGGAGGGACACGTAGTTCAACCCACGGACCTGCGGCACGTGCGGCGGGATTTCTGCCTCAAGCTCCATGGAGCGCAGGTGCGGCATCTCCTGACCCAGCGAGTAGCCGACCGACGTCGGCAGTGGCGGCGGCGGCGGCACCGGCGGCGGCGCGATGTGGTATACGGTGTAACTGTCCGTGGACCGCATCACCCACTCGACCAGGCCCACCGCACTGGCGAGAAACAGGGCGTGAAACTTGAGGCTGGCGAAGCGCGCCCCACGAGCCCCACGGATGCGGCGGTGGGCCTTGCTTTTCCACCACTGATCCAGCTTGACCAACATGGACACACCACACACTGCATGCCGTGCAATCGTTGCGCCGTCGACGGCGTTGGCGGGGCAGCCGTGGCGGGCGGCCGCGGAGACGCCGGCAAAAAAGCACAAGGGAAAAAGAAGGGAGCCTGCACAAGAGGGCGGGAAGGTGGAGCCTGCAATACATCCAAACAAACACACGATGGGGGCGGTGCCGCGTCGTTTGCCCCGTCGGCACGAACGCCAGCCAGCTTCTCTTGGCACGCGCGACAAAACAAAACCGCGGCCTCCCCGGCGGCCGCTGAGGGTGTTCCTGCCCGGTGGCCGCTCACACGCCCCGGCCCATCGTCGCCGCGCGTGCGCCCCAGAGCCGAGGAGATAAACTCCCGCCGCCCCAACACCGGGACACCGCCGCCGCCAGGAACCAAAACAGAGGGGACGGACGGGAGGGGGAGACCTCTTCCCGCGTCGGCCTCACGGGCACCGCAGCAAAAACAAAAACAAAGCAACAACGACAACAATGGCGGGGCTGCGGCCACGCCCATACAAGAAGGTTTCACCCCCCTCCCCCCACTAGCGACACAACCAACTCGCACACATCGCACGCGGGCAAGAACACGGACTTCGCGCGGCCGACGGCGTTGGAGACAAGCGGGCGGGCAAGGTCACTAAAGCGTCCATCGCTAAAAAAAACCTGGCGAGGCCACAGCAAAGACAGAGACAACAAAGGGGAAAAATGCAGAGAAAAGGCGCAAGTCGGCCACATGCGACACACACGTTCACTCCCCCGCATACCTCCACGCCTCAGCCGCACCCAAGTGTTCAATTTATCAGCGTTCAGAAAAATATATATTCAAAAAAAACCCATGACAACGAGACCGAAAAAAAAAAGCATCTGGAATTGTATCTTTCATTTTCCTTCCTTTCATTTCCCAACGACACAAGTGTAAGACGCTCCCGCCGCACGCGCCAGGGAAGGGAGAGAAAAAAGGGCAAAGTAGCAAGTGGGGATGGAGCTCCCGCCTCGTGGGCGGCGTTTAGAAAGCTCATCGTGCCTCCCCATGGCCCCAGCCGCTTTGCCCACTACTCCCACCCGTGCTCAATCCACTATCGCAAAGAGACATCTAAACCGGTGTACGACGACCATTTTGTAATATATAGTTAAAATAACAAACCGCACAAATAAATAGTTAAAATTTCTCGAGCAACAACAGCCCGTAATGCTAAGCTGCGGCATTGAAGTACTCCTTGGACTTGGCGGGGTCCGGCTTCATCGTCTTGCCGCCAGGCCTCCAGTTGGCGGGGCACACCTCGCCGTGCTGCTCCACGAACTGGAACGCCTTCACGAGGCGGAGGGCCTCGTCCACGTCGCGCCCAACAGGGAGGTCGTTGACGGTGATCTGCCGCAGGTTCTGCTTCGGGTCAATGATGAAGAGGCCGCGGTACGCCACACCGTCCTCCTCCTTTAGCACGCCGTACGCCTTCATGACGGACTTGGTCTTGTCGGCAAGAATGGGGATGCTCATCTTGCCGAGCCCACCCTGCTTGCGTTCCAGGTTTGTCCAGGCCAGGTGGGAGTACTCGCTGTCCATGGAGCAGGCAAGCACCTCGCAGCCAATGTCGTTGAACTCCTTGACGCGGTCGGAGAACTGGCAGATCTCCG